GTACTGTACTACTGTATTTCTAGTATACAGTAGCGTGCACTTTCAATTAAAAAAAACCTACCATTTTTATATTATAAATTAATATTTATTATTATTTTTTATAGGTTTATTTATCTAAAAAAAATAATAATTTATTATTATTGTTATAGCGCTATTATTATTATTATTATTATTATTATTAGAATAATGTAACACGAACGGAACTCGGTTAAGTAATTTATTAAATTTATGATTTAGATAGAATTTCCCGTCTTAAAATTACGTGTAAGCAACAAAACAAGAATAATTCTTAGTGTAAAAGCCTAGATAGGATTTATTATTGTCGTTATTGAATTTCTATAATGGTAAGAAGAGAATTAGATGTTTATGTTCTTAACATTATTAAAAAATGAGATACTTAAAACAATAAAACGTCATATAAATAATACGATTTAAGTATTAGAATGCCATCGAAACGTACAGACATAGGTTTTATCGTCATTCTTTACATCAATTTTAATTAAAATCGTCCAACAATCCGGTAAGATTCTACACCCAAAACTAAACAGGGCATGGAATTTTCTTTACTCCGAGGGGGATAAAACTATTATAATTAACACTAGAAAATGCTCTTAAATCACAAAACTGTACGAACTTTAACCCATTTGTGTAACGTCAACGCATTCATTTTTATAATCCAACATCGGTGCGGTAACTAAAAGAGAGAGAGAGAGAAAAAAAACATCGTTATTCCAATTAGTAAAACACACTTATCTGTAAATATGTGGAAAATTTATTGTCGGAAACGAATTAAGATGTTGGAAGTAGAAGGGAAAAAAGAGCGGTTTTCTAAATCAGAAAATACACATTTGAACATTATCATAATGGGAGACGACTATTTACGACCTGCTACCAACTTGGTTCGATGCTAGCTTGCTACAGAAAGCGCTTAGTTACAGATAAAAGCTTATTCCGTGTTCTATAAATCAAGAAGTAATTATAAAAATATTCTTCTGTTCCTTTTATCGCAAAAGTGTAATAAATTTTACTCTCCAACGGGATGTTTCTATCGATAATGATCCCACCTTCGATGCTATACGCACACTTTCAAAAAGTATTCCTCTTCGCGCCTCCTCTTCCATTTTTTCTTTATTTTTTTATTTTTTTCTCTAATTTTTGTAGATTTATACGCTTACAAATTAACCGGTAAGTAACTAAAATATAGTTAAATGACTTGTTTAAAATTGTAGAAATATAACTAGAAGTAGAGTTGGTGTAGTAATAAACAATTAGCTTCAATTGACAGTACAGTCGACCTACCTATAACACTGTTGATTTTTCCGTTTTATATGAATTCCATGTTGTACGAGTCACTTAGATTTTACAAATACGTCAGCCGGCGCACGTATTTGTAAAATCTAAGTGACTCGTACAACATGGAATTCATATAAAACGGAATAATCAACAGTGTTATAAGGGGAGTCGACTGGTAGTTTCTTAGTAGTATTCCTATAGTAGTAAGTATATAACAGTAGCAAACTAATACATAACTAATTTAACTTAAGGGTTTTAAATTTCGTTGATTTATAAAATTATTTTGGATGATTTAATTTCATCCAATTTTTAATGTAATAATAGCTTATAACTTTATTATTATTATTATTACTTAATAATGAAAAAATAACAATAGTTTATAAGGTTGTAGTGTATTATTACAAGCCGATAACAGTCCAAACGTTAATAGACTAAACCAACTTTCTACGGTATATTATATTCTATAATTTAAGTTTTTATAGATAATTACACTTAACTCGTATCGTGTTACTAAATTAATATTGTGTTTAATTTAGAATTAAATTTATAATTTTTAAGCAACTTGCCTACGTATTATAGGCCTATGAGAAGAAACAATCATTTTTAGATACTTTAATTCTAAACGTGCCTAGTTGTTTAGGCAAACTTTGATCTATTCCAGGCTTTAAAGGCTCCAAATGTCAAGATTTGTTTACGTAACTAGTTTATGTGTTTTTAAAAGGGATAAAAACACTACAAAATTTTAGTCTTTATCTAAATATAGAGTATTTCATTAAGAAATCTTATTATTGCATCTACTTCTTATTAAGAATTCTGATTGATTAAGAGGAATTATTGCTTCCTAGTAATTTTTTTCTTATTACGAATTCTATCCTTAGTCGAGAGTGAAAATTTCTAGTAAAAGTTTTATACAATTGAAGTAAGAATTTTTTTAAAGTATTAGTTGTATCAATAAACAGAAATCTAATCGGTATTCCTATAGTAGTAAACTGCAAACTTATTAATATCCCTATTGCAGCATGCAAGAATCTTACTTGTTAGTAGTGTCTGTAAAGTAGAGAATAGGAATCCTAGTAGTAACCCTAAAACAATAAACAGGAATTCTAGTAGTGTTTCTACAGTAGAAAAACTAGGAGTCCTAGTAGTGTTTCTACAATAGAAAAAATAGGAATCCTAGTTGTATCCCTATAACAATAAATAAGAATCCTAGTAGTGTTTCTACAGTAGAAAAAATAGGAATCCTAGTTGTATCCCTATAACAATAAATAAGAATCCTAGTAGTGTTTCTACAGTAGAAAAAATAGGAATCCTAGTTGTATCCCTATAACAATAAACAAGAATCCTAGTAGTGTTTCTACTGTAGAAAAACTAGGAATCTTAGTTGTATCCCTATAGCAGTAAATAGAAATTCCTACTAGTATTCTTATAGTAGTGGGAATTTTTAATAGTACTGTTTATAATAGTAAGAGATTGTAATAGTAACATTATTCTTACAATAGTTACTTCTATTATTATTTTTCTAGTAGGGCCTACCTATTTCGATACGAGACTTCTTCTCTGTAGCAGGATATCCTATAACGTAGATCCAGTCTAGAGTCACCTAACCTTATATTAAGGTATATCGAAATTAGATTACATTATATTAACTCGTCAGTTAATTAATTAATTAGATTATATAGATCTAATATAACAGCTTATAAGTCTATATTTACCTAACTGAAACTTACCATGTTAATTTAGCTGTATAAAAGTATATTTTAATATTATCTATAAATAATATTAAAATATTTTTAAAGTAAAAATACAATGTATGAGAATTAATAGTATAATTATAATCTAATATAAATTACGAAAGACTTTATAATTGAGTTATTGTCATCATTATACAGGAAAATATATAATAGACTATTAGAATTTACATATATATACAATAATTTTATGTATTTAAATTCTAAAGGAGTTTGAAATATTTTAAAACATAGTCATTCTATATTATATAAATGACTTGAATACATTTAACATCTTATTTTTTAAGTAGGAAGGACAATTTGGCTGCTGTTGAATCGTTTTATGGGACAATTCAATGCTTTAAACAGAAATGAATTAAAAACATTATATAATTTTTATATTGTTAATACATTTTATGACTATAAAACAAATAATCTTTTAATAAATTTATATATATTACTAATATAATATGTAATAAACACTATCCTGCTGAAAATTCACCCCCAAAAAATAATAATACATAAAATAATAGATTTGACTATAAAACACTCACTTAATATTGTATAAAGTTATAAAAGAAATTAATCAGAATTACAATATTACTGTGTGAATTAGACATAAAATATACAAAAATAACTGAATCATTTTTCTGTTGAAAGAGCTAGAAAAATGAAGAAAAAAGTGCAAAATCATTAAAATGTGTTCATTAAAATACTAAAAAATTCTAATATGTATATATAATATACTACTGTAATTATATTTATTTAATGATATATTATTAACATTATGCAAAAATTTATTAAGTATAATAGAATGTAATTATAGAATTAATATAAGTTTTTTCCTACACTTTCCTTAGATCACTGTTATCTTAGATGTATAAAAATTCCTCATCCTCTTTTTATAGGAGTAATTTCTTACCTGAAAGTATTCTATACTAGATTTACACATAAGCTAAACAAGTTGAGATTTAGGGCCTTGAATTACACCAGTCTATAGAGCAGGTGGTTATCAGGTGAAGTAGAAGGGCCTGGCGTTACACCAGTCTATAGAGCAGGTGGTTATTAAGTGAAGAAGAAGGGCCTGGCGTTACACCAGTCTATAGAGCAGGTGGTTATTAGGTGAAGGAGAAGGGCCTGGCGTTACACCAGTCTATAGAGCAGGTGGTTATTAAGTGAAGAAGAAGGGCCTGGCGTTACCAGTCTATAGTTTAGGTCTTAATAGTTTTACACGTATCGTTAATTACAGAAAAGAAAGAACTTATCTATAAATTTTCAGAACTGTACTGTACAGTACCTTAATCTNTCTAATATAAATTACGAAAGACTTTATAATTGAGTTATTGTCATCATTATACAGGAAAATATATAATAGACTATTAGAATTTACATATATATACAATAATTTTATGTATTTAAATTCTAAAGGAGTTTGAAATATTTTAAAACATAGTCATTCTATATTATATAAATGACTTGAATACATTTAACATCTTATTTTTTAAGTAGGAAGGACAATTTGGCTGCTGTTGAATCGTTTTATGGGACAATTCAATGCTTTAAACAGAAATGAATTAAAAACATTATATAATTTTTATATTGTTAATACATTTTATGACTATAAAACAAATAATCTTTTAATAAATTTATATATATTACTAATATAATATGTAATAAACACTATCCTGCTGAAAATTCACCCCCAAAAAATAATAATACATAAAATAATAGATTTGACTATAAAACACTCACTTAATATTGTATAAAGTTATAAAAGAAATTAATCAGAATTACAATATTACTGTGTGAATTAGACATAAAATATACAAAAATAACTGAATCATTTTTCTGTTGAAAGAGCTAGAAAAATGAAGAAAAAAGTGCAAAATCATTAAAATGTGTTCATTAAAATACTAAAAAATTCTAATATGTATATATAATATACTACTGTAATTATATTTATTTAATGATATATTATTAACATTATGCAAAAATTTATTAAGTATAATAGAATGTAATTATAGAATTAATATAAGTTTTTTCCTACACTTTCCTTAGATCACTGTTATCTTAGATGTATAAAAATTCCTCATCCTCTTTTTATAGGAGTAATTTCTTACCTGAAAGTATTCTATACTAGATTTACACATAAGCTAAACAAGTTGAGATTTAGGGCCTTGAATTACACCAGTCTATAGAGCAGGTGGTTATCAGGTGAAGTAGAAGGGCCTGGCGTTACACCAGTCTATAGAGCAGGTGGTTATTAAGTGAAGAAGAAGGGCCTGGCGTTACACCAGTCTATAGAGCAGGTGGTTATTAGGTGAAGGAGAAGGGCCTGGCGTTACACCAGTCTATAGAGCAGGTGGTTATTAAGTGAAGAAGAAGGGCCTGGCGTTACCAGTCTATAGTTTAGGTCTTAATAGTTTTACACGTATCGTTAATTACAGAAAAGAAAGGACTTATCTATAAATTTTCAGAACTGTACTGTACAGTACCTTAATCTGATCTTCAACGTAGGGCCTGGTTAAACTTAACTATCAATCTCACTTATACTTTCGTGTTTAGTTTATATATAGGCTATTCTTTATTAAATGATAGAAGATATAAAAGTAGATTTTGAAGAGTTTTAGTGATATTTAAAAAGAAAAATTATAAGTAATCAATATGAAAAACTTTGCTACTCCCTTCTTCAATACATGTTATTCGAAACTTGGCGTACAGACATGGAAACTTGATATCAGATGTGATGAGAGCAAATATTTGTTTTACGATGTGATACTCCATCTCCTTCATCATACCATGTTGTGTGTGTGTGTGTGTGTGTGTGGCTTACATCGAAAATCATTTTGTTTCTAGCAGTAGTATGAATTTTGTATTTCCAAATATATATCTATATACAGATACATAAACATTCTCTGTATATTTTTTGCATATGCTACAGACTTTTGAATATATTTAAGTATATCTTATACATGTTTTTTTAGCCTATATTATTATTATTATTATTATTTAAATGGGTAATTAATATCGGCTGGTTTTCATAGAAGTTGATTAAAAATTTAATGACGTTTCGTACAAAATTCTTTGTTTATTACTTTCAAAATGTGTTAAATTAATATTTATAAATATTTTTAATTAATTCATTATGATGATGTGTTTGTTTTATTACCAATCATGTATAACTTGTTGATCTAACAATGAAAAATCTTAGTCATTTCAATGACTAAGATTATATACTTTGTCATTGAAATAAATGCTTTTCTTACTTATTTTATAATCTGTTTTACATATATACTATATTTTTATAATGATATTTATTTAATATATAAAAATAAAAGTGAATAAATAAACTCTTAAAACATGTTTAAAATTAATTTTAGGTTGGTCTATTTATAAGTATTCGAGCCTATCGTAAGACTATAATTTATCATCTTTTTT